CCTATTTTTTATTATGGCTGAACATAGTGTACTAATTCAGTGTTTATCTTTCTTCTTTTAATGAAGGGAAAATTCTAATGTAGAGGGAGAAAGATGTATGCATATACATTTGTTTCACATATTTTCTATCAAACGATAATGCTGTTTGAATGAAACAATAATATCGTTTAGATTAAAGAGAATATTCCTTTCGTTTCAAACAAATCTTTTATTTGAAGTAAAGCTATTTATTATTTGAAAGGTCAAATAATCATATTTGTTGAACCATCAATTGGTTTGTTTGGACTATTCCAAAAGATAAATTTCTTTGAATCTAATAAAATTTATTAAATTCAAAGAAACCGTTCTCTCTGTGCATAAAAGGGGGGAGGGGGGAGTTTTTATATGTATTTCATGAAGAAGCTTAAGTATACTGTTTTGTTCTCATGACTCAATATCGGGGCAGCCTCAACTAACATAGTAAATGATGAAAAGTCATTTGTAACTTTGATGGGAGGGGTCAATTCTCGTGTTTTGCGCCGCACTAATCATCGTTCGGTTAATTAATCAATCATTTAAGCTTTATTAGAGTCGCACGCGTTGAATAGCGCTTGCGCCCACGCATTCGCGGCAGGTGCGTGCGAGTATAGTTAGTAAGTAAGGATACATATATTACAGTCATTGTATTCTTGGAGCGAGAAAAGTAATGCAATAGTAAATATCATATAAAAGGAAATGGCAGTCTCTCGATTTTAAATGCGCTTGTGTTGTCTAATTTAAATAAAACTTGTATGAGTAAAAATAAAGAGACTTCGCTCGAAGCTCAAACTTAGAGAAGCTTGACTTTTTACTTGGATAGATACTTCCTTTTACAAGTTTTTACTATTTGTCATACGAATGTGAAGGAGTTTATAAGAGTCATTTGTGAGTTCGCAGGTACAGTTTGACATCATACTTGTTGGAACTGTATACCTTATGACGTAATGCAAACATAAACGTAACGTCGTCTGATCCGATAATGTCGAGTTTCCACACAGAGAAAACGATTTCTTTGGATTTAATAAATTTTCTTGTATCCAAACAAATCATTTGTTTGAATTTGAAATAATATATATCTGCGTCTGCAATAAAATATTTATTTGCAACAAAAGGTATATTCTCTTTGATCTAAATTATATTATTGTTTTATTCAAACATTTCTGTTTGATAGAAAATATGTGAAAAATGTACGGTTTTACTCAAATAATTATTTTATTTCACTAAAATAATTGCTTATTACATTTAAACAAGTAACTTTTTTTATCATTTCAGGTTGCTTTTTTCGACCTCTTGCTTACCAATACATACATTCATCTTTTTCCTTCTACATTAGAAAAAGAAAGCTATACACTAAATTAGTACACCATGTTCAGCTATAAAGAATAGACCATTAGATTATTATACCGTGTCTGCTGATGCGGTTGCTTATACGTCTGGCCGCCGTGATTTTACTTACGAGTTCGGCGGCCATCTAGTGGCAGCACCGAATTTTATATGCGCTTGGCCAAATAATAGAATTATTCAATTGAAAGATATTACTTGAAATAATAGTGTTTTTTCCATCAAATAATAGGGATTGTTTGAATGAAACAAGAAAATTTTTCTTCAAACAAATAATGTTTTGTAGGTATAAGCATATAATTTTATCGTATTTTCTTATAAATTTTTTCACCAAAATTGTATATAATTTGACCACCTTCAATCTGGTGACGGCCGTTGACTAATGTTGTTTCGATGAAACAAATTTCAATTACACATAAATAGGAATACTAAATCCAAAGAAACGTTTTTCTCTGTGCAAGTGTAGCAACATCTGAATGACTGCTTTCTACACATGAATAATCGTCAACAATATTTCCCATTCACATAAATACCGTCAACACATTTGTGATATGTAAAACTGAATGAATTTGCTTATTTGCTCTAACGCACTACTTCTAGCGCGCTGGTTTCGGTTAGAGAAACTTTCGTTTCTCTCTTTACGCTTCGAGTATTTTCTTACTGTACATTTCATTGTCACTATTTACATATATTACATACTGTTACATACGCATATTTGTGCAGTCGTTAGCCACGTATCCATGTTGCGCAATGCATCACCCTTTTCTAAACGGTATTCTATCTGATAATTCTCTCATTATCATATGTATAGCGTTTAAAGCGAGTAATTATCGAGATCGTTATAAACTTACGACTTAAAGATAAAATAATTATACTTAGAATTGTTAAATTTACCATTCCTCCGTAAGCGATTATAGCCAAAATTATATTTACTTATCAACAATGACTAGAGCAAAGCGTACGTTTGGGCAAGATTTATGAAACTATTTTATAGCTGCTGATATTATGTCGCTTCAACGAATTTTACAATTTTTCAACCGTCCGCACAAAGAAGAAGGCAAATGATTTACACCGTATAGGACTCGATTGGCAAAACTGCGACGCGCCTCGCAGCGGCTCTTCCGTTGGCCAGTAATTCCTCCGTGAAGCGGACGCGATTCCTGGCCGTACTTGCCCGATATCGATCCTGCCAAGACTCACCTGGTCCACGTTCTCGCGTACGAACAGTCCCGGGAAAAGTTGGAGCGGAACGCTTCTCGTTGCACGGTCGGTTTTTCGAAAGACCGCGCGGGACTTGCTCTCTCTCTCTTCCCTCGCAGAGTGTGACGCGAGCGGCTTCTCTCTCTCCACAGAGACAACCGGGAAGTCGGACGACCAAACTAAAGACTGGCTGGCATCTAGCTCACCAGCATCTTATTATTGAATCGTACAGTCTCCGTGGTCTGACATCAGACCATGTGGCGGCGACCAATCGGAGCACAGCTCTCGGTGCACGCATGCGCGTTATTGGCGCGCGCGCGCGCCAACACCGACGACGTTCGTCGTCCTGCCGTAGACTTTCCGTCACGGGCCGGATCGTGACAGATCGTGGACGATTCGTGTTCCGGCTGACCCACCACCGCCCGCCACCACCCGCCACCGCCCACCGTCCGGCCGACTTACTTGACGCGATTTCGCCAGACTCCGGGGAATCGCCGCGACCACGCGTCTGTCACATGCCACAGCCTCGTAATTCTGTCACGTTCTTTCGTTTTGCCGATGGCTTATCGGGGGATGATAGCGTTACCGGCGCGACGACGTGGTCACCGTTTTCAAACCACGTGAAGCGGACGGAATCGATAACTTGGACTCTTCGACGATGCGCAATGGTTTTACGCCTTCCAACTATTAATATAGCGATCATACATATATGCCGCTAATACGATAGTAACGCGCGCGCGTAATAATAGTAGCGAATCGATAATGCTCATCACTTTCAAAAAAAGGGGTAGGATGTCATCTAACGTGTCTATTGAAATGCATAATTTGCGTTCGCGATACAAAATGTCCATGAAAATATGTTTACGAGTTGTCACATCGTCGTGACAAAAAGTCTGGCTACAGAGGTGCAAGTATAGATACGCCCTAAACTGAGAACGCGTATGCTCCAATTGTACATACATATGTACGTATCCCAGATAGTACAAGATTCCATAGGTCATTCTTATATATTTATCTTATGTTCGTGGAATATTCGACTGGCATTACTATAAATCTTTTTCGAATGACAATAGAATAATCTATCGAATATAGCGTGTTATATATGGTATGAGCACTGCTTTCACTGCCTTTTACATAAGATAACATTAAACAATTATTCTGAACGAATATTTAAAAAAAACGTTATTCTTTGTTATGAATATACGATTTCTTATTGTAATAATCTACATATATTTATCGAATATTCATACAACTATGTGTGCTATCTGGGTAGTTACAATAGCAATTAAAATTTATAATTAATTGTTTGCAAATGGAAATGTCGAGATACACTTATGAGAGGTTAATTATGGTAACTCATTTGCCAATCTGCGCACTTTTTAACGAAATGTTGAATTAACCTAACAGGAATATATGAATCGGT